CGCCTGCCTGCTCCGGAACGGGGGTGCTCAGGACAGCTCGGTCGCGGAAGCCCTGAGCGGGCCCCCGGTGCGGCTGGCCCCGGAGGAGGAGACCCGGGCCCGGCTGCTGCCCGTGGGCGCCGAGGAGGAGGAGGAGGAGGAGGAGGAGGAGGCGGCGGCGGCGGCCCCGGGGGCTGAGGAAGCGCGGCCGCCGCGGACGGCGCTCTCTGCGCGGCGCTTCGCGGTGCTGCTCATCTTCAGCTTGTACTCGCTGGTGAACGCCTTCCAGTGGATCCAGTACAGCATCATCAGCAACGTGTTCATGGACTTCTACGGCGTCTCCGAGCTGCACATCAACTGGCTGTCCATGGTGTACATGCTGGCCTACGTGCCTCTCATCTTCCCGGTCACCTGGCTGCTGGACACCAGGGGTCTACGGCTCACCGCCCTGCTGGGCTCTGGTCTCAACTCTCTGGGTGCCTGGGTTAAGTGCTGCAGTGTCCAACCCCATCTCTACTGGGTCACCATGTTGGGCCAGGGCCTGTGCTCTGTAGCGCAGGTGTTTATCCTGGGCTTGCCCTCCCGCATCGCCTCTGTGTGGTTTGGGCCCACGGAGGTGTCCACAGCTTGTGCCACCGCCGTGCTGGGCAATCAGGTAAGGACTGGTGTGAGAGTAAGGGGAGTGTCTGATTGTTAAAGAGCAGGAAAAACTATAGGCCACGTGACCTAGATGCACACCGATGGGCCTCAGGAGGCCGCTGTCTGTAAAGAAGGACTAGAGATGATGGTAAGATAAGAGCCAGTCTTAAAAACACTTTTAAATTTCTTTGTAAGGACAGAACTTTCAAACTTGCAAAACCCTTTTAAAGTGGCCACCTTGGTGGTCTTCTTTTGAAAATTACCTATAAATTAATTGTCTTGGCCTACAGATGGGTGGCATCATTGAAAACTTCGCAATGTACTAACCAAACACACTTGCATGGTTATTAGTTTTGTCAACAATGTGACAAAGGAAGGTGTTGGAGTCAGGGAAATTTGTTTCTATGTTGCATGTCATTGTAAGCAATTTTTATTTAATTGTATCTATTAGTAGTCAGACACAAAATGGACATGTACCAAATGACTGCTAAATAAATTTTTTTGGGGGGGAGGTTCAGTCATGGGGCCTGAACTCTGGGCCTGGGTGCTGTCCCTCAGCTCTTCAGCTCAAGGCTAAAGCTCTACCACTTGAGCCACTGCGCCATTTCTGGCTTATTTTCTTTTTGCTTATGTGGTGCTGAGGAATCGAACCCAGGACCTCATGCATGCAAGGCAAGTGCTCTACCACTGAGCCACCTTCCTAGCCTTGCTTAATAAATATCCTGGTGAGAGAGACTTCACAACATTGCTGAATCCACTTACTAATTTTTTACAACAATAAAACAATGCAAGACAAATGACTGATTATAAAATACTCTGTGGCTTAATTTACCAAGCCTCCACTAAAAAATGACCTTGCTTTTTGAAAATACCACCATAAATTCAAATGCCAGTAGTATGTGTATGCTTTTTAAAATTGTAGACCAGTTCTCTAATTGTACTTTAAGTTCTGCATGAAGTCCTAAGACATTTTATGTAAATGTACTGAGTGTTCATTCAGTTTGAGAAAAATCTAGTTAAAACTTGTATACACTTGTTTCACTGTGGTTGTGGAGCAAAAGAATGTTTCTTTCCTTTAAAAATTTTTTATTTATGTTTTTATAGTGCAGGGAGTGGGGGTTGAACTCAGGGTCTTGTCTTCCTGCCTGGCTTGCTGCTTGCTTTCATTCTTGCTTGTTACTCCCCTTCACCAGATCAAGGTAGGCACTGTAGCACTTGAGCCACACCTCCACTTCCAGGAATGTTACTTTCGTCAAGTCTCACTTGTGTCATTGTGTCGTGATCACAGTAAGATTTATCTAGAAAACTTGAAAGGAGTATTTCATATTTGTAAAATTATATTCAGGATTAACATTTCACTGACAATAATGTTATCAACTCCATATCTATGTACTATCAATTTATGGATAGTAAAGGAAAATGATTACTTACAGGCAGACTTGCTTCTAACAGCAGACTTCTGAGCTGCCTTCTTATATTCTCCTTAGGTGTTCTCATCCCTTCCTTGCTTTCATTAACTCTGCAGTTTGCTCATTACTGCCAGGCATGCATTTTCAGCCTAGTTTATGGAGAGATCATTCATAACACTCAAATATTGAGCACTCATGGGCAGCCTGGCAACATGCCAAGTGCTATCTGTGCATTACGTCATTTAATTTAATGCCACAGGTAGGTACTAAGAGTCTCCTTATTTGGTAGATATGGAAATGGAGTCTTGAAGGAAATTAGTTTCTAAAGGTCATGCAGTTAGTGAGTGGTGACTCATACTGAAGTTTGTCTAGTTTCTGATTGATAGCTTTCAAATTCAAATCTGTACTGCAGGTTCCTCACTAGAAAGAATCTTAAAACATAGAGTACAACATGTCATCATTGCTTTGCTTTGAACTTGCCAGTGAGTTCATGAAGTACTTAAAATGTAAACTCCTAACTGAATTAATTACAAAACTTTCCTACCATATCTTCTTTGTTTCCTAATACACTAAGCTGGACTTGCTTACTGGCCCTGGCAAACATTCTTTCTGCTTAGAATTTGGTTCTTCCTCTTAGGACCACATGATTATATCATCAATGTTACTCAGCTTACTGTTTACATTTGTTTTGAATAGCTAGCGGCATTTCTTGCATCCATGAAGGGTTGCTCAATCACTCCCTTATTACATCATTAAAATTTATTTCTAGGGCTGGGAAGGTGGCTCAGTGGTAGAGCACTTGCCTTGCATGCCTGAGGCCCTGGGTTCAATTCCTCAGCACCACATAAGCAAAAAAGAAAAAAGCTGGAAAGTGGCGCTATGGCTCAAGTGGTAGAGCGCTAGCCTTGAGCTGAAGAGCTGAGGGACAGCACCCAGGCCCAGAGTTCAGGCCCCACGTCCGGACCCCCCAAAAAAAATTGTTTCTGTGTATTTCTGTATTCATCATGGTCTCAAGTTTACTGTTTATGCATTTATATGTTCATTGTTGCCTTTACTCATTTCCTTTCATACTGTTAGATAAGTTTTATGACAATAGGCACCAGTTCTCAATATGCATAGTTGTCTCACCAGTACTTATTTACAATGCCTGATGTGTTGTAAGCCTCATTAGACTCATCTAGATACTGCAAAATCCACCACTCAAAATTAACCGTACCGTCTAGCTATTTTTTCTTCGTCTCTGTTGTTAGAGGCTTAACTTGAGGCATTCCTAGCGCCCTAGCACCATCCTAGAGGCTTGCTAATTGATCTCTCCATCTGCAGCCCTGGCTCTCTCCCCTCTGACTACCACAGTCATCTGATTTGGCCTTTCTAACATGAAAATCTGTTCAGAGCATTACTTTGCCCCTTGCAGTGGCTTCCAGTGCCCTTAAGATAAAATTTAATGTGACTTGTGAGACCTTCCATACTGTCTCCTTGCCACTGTTTGACTTCTTCTAGATCCACCACCTGGCCTTACCTCTATGCGTGCATGCGCGCGTGCGCGTGCACACATGCGCGCGCACACACACTCTCTTTTTTTTTTCTGCTCACAGCTAGACTTCATACTGACAGTCTCTCACAAGGTCATGTTCTCCTCTGTGGTTTTTGTACATAATGCCCTGTGGTTTAGAACATTTCTTCTTTACTTGGTTAACTCTGAGTTCCTTCTCAGATCTCTGCCCCTCCAGAAAGCTTGCTTGAAACCCAACTTTATACAAGGTGCTACTACAAAATGCTCTCGTACCTAAAGTGACCACGTGTCCCTACTGACCTGGGCTAATCTGGATATACACCTGTTATTTAGCACAATTACTATTAGATTCCACTCAGAACGGTGCTCTGGCTTACATGATAAGGACATGATCTTTCCCATCTTAGAACGCTACATCTCCACTGTAGTACTAGGCTGCAGTGTTCTCTTGTAATTACCTACTTAGTTGTCTCTAGCTTTTTGAAAAGGAAAAGTAAATATTTGGCAAATATTATTTGCCTCTGATTCCTTGATACTTTGTCTGGGACTTTTCTCTTTACCTTCATGTCCCCCCCCCCCCGCATCCTATCTTACCATTGAACTTCCTTAATTTTTAACTTTCTCTTGTGATTATTCAGTCTTATATTCTGAGATGAAATTCATGTAACATAAATTTAACAGTTTTATACTGTTCAGTTCAGTGGTGTTTCATTCATTTATAATATTGTGCAATTGCCATCTCTATGGGTTCCAAAACATTTTTATCTACTCATGAAGAAGTCCCAATACCCACTAAGGGACCGTTAAGTGATGGCAACCCCATTACCTCCCCCCTCCCCCCAAATCTGGTCCTTATTAATCTGCTTTCTCTCTACATGGACTTACCTATGCTGAATGCTTTGTAGAAATGGAGTTATATATTGACCTTTTGTTCTGGCTTCTTTCACTGTCAGAGCTTGCCCATAGCTGGCACTACATCAGTGCTTCATTCTTTTTTGTAGCTGAGTGCTGTTTCACTGTATGAATGAGTATATCATTTTGTTTGTTCATTTACCCATTGATAAACATTTGAGCTCTTGACACATTTGAATATTATAACTAAGGATGCTACAGATATTCATATATGCGTTTTTGAATGTGTATTGTCAGTTTTTGGATAATTAGGAGCAGAATTGCTGGGTCATGTGGCAATTTATGGTACTTTTTTTCAGGGCCTGGGCACTGTCCCAGAGCTTCCCCCTGCTCAAAGGTAGTGCTCTACCATTTTGAGCCACAGTGCTACTTCTAGTCTTCTGGTGGTTACTTGGAAATAAGAGTTTCATGGACTTTCCTGTCTGAGCTGACTTTGAACCATGATCCTAGATCTCAGTAGCTAGGATTATAGGTGGGAGCTGCCCATGCCTGGCTTTTTTTTTTTTTTTTAATTTGTTTGTTTCAATTTTTTAAGCCTGGCTCTGAAAAATGGAGTCTGTGGAACCCAGGCTGGCCTCAAACTCAATCCTCCAGTCTTATCTTGACAAGTACTGGAATTATGGGTGTGCACCCACACACCTGGCTCTATGTTAAACTTTTCTAGGAATTGCCAAACTTAGTCCACTTTTGTTCACAGTAGTATTACAGCTTTACCACTAGCAGAGTACAGCACTTTTTCCGCATATAAACACGTGTTATATTCTCATGTTATTATTAGAGCCATCCTAGAGGTGGAGTCTCATTATGGTTTTCATTTGCATTTTTCTAATAAGTTAGAATATTAAACATCTCATTTTTGGTTACTATTTGTGTATCTTCTCTGGAGAAATGCCTATTGAAATTATTTGCCCATTTTAAAACTGGGAAATCTTGGGCTGGGAAGGTGGCTCAGTTCTAGAGTGCTTGCCTCACATGCATGAGGCCCTGGGTTCGATTTCTCAGCACCACATAAGCAGAAAAAGCCAGAAGTGGCATTGTGGCTCTAGTGGTAGAGCGCTAGCCTTGAGCTGAAGAGCTGAGGGACAATGCCCAGGCCTAGAGTTCAGGCCCCACGATCGGCAAAAACAAACAAAAAAAACAAAACCAAAAAACTGGGGTATCTTAATATTGAGACGTTTTTGTTGTTGAGTTGTAAGACTTATTTATTCTAGATGCCAGACCTTTATCAGGATCTGATTTTCCTTCCCCTAATGATAATAGCTGTTAACAGGACTTTCTATCTTACAGCTTGGAACTGCAGTTGGCTTTTTGTTACCTCCTATTCTAGTGCCCAACACACAGAACAACACAGATCTCCTTGCTAGTAACATCAGCACCATGTTTTATGGGACATCAGCGGTTGCCACACTTTTATTTATTTTAACAGCAATTGGTAAGTGCATTATTTCCCCCTGGAAGTTAGATAAGTGCATGACAAAAGATATGAGAATGACTAAGCCTAAACATTTGTTTCATGATAAGATCTCAGTTGCTTGTTGCTAGTTTCATTCTTGCCATGCACATCTTGCTCAGATAATAAACGCTATAACCCAGGGGATATGTTATAGTCCACTACAAGTATTTAAATACTGGAAGGGGCTTGAAGACTAATCCATCTCATTTATTTCCTTACTAACTCTGCTTCCTGGTAAGTCTTGGTTTCAAACATATTCCCTATCTCTCTCCTCCGATTTGTCTCCACAATCTACATTGTACATGTACCAAACAAGGAATAAGTCCTTATCATGCTCTGAAACAACACAAATAGAATCTCATCTTTTTTTTTAATGGTACATCCTCCTAAGGATCCCCAATTTAAAATTAACTTGCTCTGAAAAATGTTGACCAGTGAATTATTCTGGGCAGCAGCAAGCTGTTCAGCAGAATTTCAAACTGCTGCAACTATCTGCTTGTTAGGCCACTCCGGCAAGGCACGACTGCCACCATTCGCCACTGAGTCCTTTCATCCTGGGCCTGTCTCTTGAAGCAGTCAGTCAAAATCAGCTGCAAGCAGCCACCAGCAGTGTGGAAGAAGCTTTGGGAAGGTCTGCTTTTTAAAGTTTATTTTTGAATGGGAATCAGTTTTGATTTCAGAGGAAAGATAGGTAAGGCATCTCTCAGTAATATACCACTAACAAAACTCAGGCACTCAGTGTGTCACAAAGTGCATTTAAAGAGGAAAGGCTATAAAATTGAAAGGCCATTATGATCTTGTAATCAATGAACATTTATAAATAAGTGCATTCTAGTGGGAGGCTTTAGATTTATATATCAACTTTTATAATGGCTAACATAGTAATGACAAAATCATATTTTATGATCTCCAGATGTGAAGTCCTCAGTTTTCAGAGAAATGTGTGCTGAAGATTCTAGAGTGTTTCAATACCTGGGTAGATGAACTGCAGGATCCAGGTCTAGGAAGCTCAGCCCACATACTTAGTTTCCCTTTAGACGATGAACAAAATGTTCTGTTGGTAGCATATGAAGTATTCCACCGTGTCCAGTCTGTGGGTTGGTTTTTATGTTTTAAATTAGTTAGGAGTGTACGTCTTTACAGGTTGCAGGCATTTGAAAAAGGACCGTTTTCTTGTACTGTTTTAGCAATTTAACAAAGCCATAAAGAAATCTGTATGGTAGTGGTGGTGGTGATATTGGGGATCTTCTTAAATCTACTTTTCTGGTAGCCATATTTGCTAGACAAAACAGGAAGTATTGTTTATATATGTTTTGCATAAATAGATCTACCACTGACAATAGGGATGTTTCTTAAGTATAAAATAGTCTTTAATTACTTATAGGTCATCACATAAATTCCAGATTTTTTAATATTGCCTCCAAAGAGACAACCAATTATTACATATGTTATCTATTTGTATGAAATTACATGCAATATGTGTGTGCATGCAAGTTTAAACTGCTAAAATAGGCAATCTTTATTTGTTGAAGGAAGGGAACAAAATAATAGGTGTGGCCATTAGCATATATTCCTGTGTTGTTGAAGTTCAAAGACTGAGGTATGTATATACTTAATTAGTTATGTATTCATGACTTACTGGTGGAAAGTTAAAATAGAAATAAGGGAAAAGAATAGAAATAGTGGAATAAGAGAAAAACTTAATTTCAAATCTGCAATAGTGACCTATAATTTTTATCATATGATACCAAGCACAGTATACAGTTGTGCTATGAAAATCTTCATTGAAAATTGTGACACTTAAATGGAAAAATCTTTTTGTTTCCCTCATACCCAGATATTTGCTGTGGTGGAAAATTTTTATTATTTATAAAATTCTCTTTTTTTTTTGGCCTGTTGTGGGGCCTAAACTCAGGCCTGGGAGCTGTCCCTCAGCTCTTCAGCTCAAGACTAGCACTCTACTATTTGAGCCACAGTGCCACTTCTGCTTATGTGGTACTGAGGAATCGAACCAAGGGCCTCATGCATGCAAGGCAAGCACTCTACCACTGTCCCACATTCCCAGCCCTATTTATAAAATGCTTATAGCTTCTTAAATACTAAGAGATTATCCTGCTTCACTCGAAATTCTACCCATAATAACTGGGAAACCCAACCAAATTTTTGTAAGATAATTTAATTAGGCTAAAGTTTTAAGTGGTATAATGTTCTGAATTGATATTCAGTAGGCTACTGTGTTGAAGGTTCATGTCATGTAACTCTATTCCTCTCTCTATTCATGAAGGTTGTATGTGTATACAGCCCATCGGACACTCCTGGGAATGAGTTTTCCCGCAGCGTTTCCTAGAATGCCTCATTCTCCTTTGTGGAAATCTAGGGTGGCCTCTCACATCAAGGTTGTTATATGTGCTGACATGGCTAAAGACACATGATCTACTGGATCTCATTTAATCTTCAGGGCCCTTTGAGTAAGGCCCTGTTATTTTCCTATTTTGTAAGGAAACTGGGCCACAGACCTGAAACACATTTAATTTTCCAAGGTTACTGTTAGTAAGTACCCATGGTCAGATTTAAGCCTAAGCAATAGAACTCCATTTATAAAATGTTATATATTTAAATAGATCATTTCGTATTTACTTGCCCTTCTTTTTTTTTTTTAACCTTAGTTCTTCTTGTTTAAAGGATAATGATTTTGAGCAGTAGAAAGTATATAATTTTTTTTGGGGGGGGGAGATGGTCCTGGAGCTTGAACTCAGAGCCTGGGCACTGACCTTAAGTCTCTGTGTACACAAGGCTAGCACTCTACCACTTGAGCCACAGCACCACTTCTGGCTTTTTCTGTTTATCTGGTACTGAGGAATCGAACCCAGGGATTCATACATGTTAGGCAAACACTCTTCCACTAAGCTACATTCCCAGCCCTGAAGTATATAATTTTAACTAAAGTGTATCAGTTACAAAATTGTTTCTTTTTTTTTTCCTCTTTTTTCTTGGTCATGGGGCCTGAACTCTGGGCCTGGGCACTGTCCCTCAGCTCTTCAGCTCAAGACTAGTGCTCTACCACTTGAGCCACAGCACCATTCCGGCTTTTCCTGCTTATGTGGTGCTGAGGAATCGAACCCAGGGCCTCATGCATGCAAGGCAAGCACTCTACCACTGAATGACCTTCCCAAGCCCCCAAAATTCTTTCTTGATGGGCACCCATGGGTAATGCTCGTAATCCTAGCTATTCAAAAGGCTGAGATCTGAGGATCACAGTTTGAAGCCAGCCTAGACAGAGAATGTTTGAGACTCTTAGCCCTAATTAAGCACCCAAACAGCTGGAAATAGAGCTATGGTTCAAGTGGTAGAACACTAGCCTTGAACAAAAAAGCTCAGAATCAGTGCCCAGGTCCTGAATTTAAGCCCCAGTTTTGTCACACACACACACACACACACACACACATGCACGCACACACACACACTCACACACACACACACACATCCTTTCTTGAGTTAGTGAGTAGATAACAGAAACCAAAAGCAGTGTTGTTAAAAACATTTAATACAAATGTACTAAATGCAGGACATCATAACACGTATACACAGGAGAGTTTTACATATTACACATACTATGTATATTATGTATAACATAAATATTTTACTTGGTGTATAAGAATTTTAAGTCCTTGAGGCACAGTCACTGATTTCTTAAAAATAATTATTTCCCAAAAAAGACAATACATTTTGTGTAGTACTTGACCATTACAAAATTCTACCTCTTACATCTTAAAATGGATGTCATAGCTTTATTTTTGTGCTGATCCTATTTTTGTGCATACGGCCTATGCACTGTCTCTGAGCTTTCTTTGCTCAAGGCTAGAACTTTACCACTTGAGACACAGCTCCAGTTCCTGGCTTTTTGGTAGTTTATTGGAAATAGGAATCTCAGGAGTTTCCTGCCCAGACTGGCTTCAAACCAGGATTCTCAGCACAAGAAAAACAGTTCTAATGTGGTGGCTAAGAATCTTTTGGTTACATTGTAGATATGCCTAATGCCAAAGTGGACAAAAGCAGTTTCAATAGTCAAAGTTTTGGTTCGGATGGGGAGTAGGAGACCATTGTTTTTCAGTTTCAAAGGAGAAAGGAAAAGCCGCCTTTCATCTTGTAAAAATAGCAACCATGAGTAAACAAGGTCATAGAACAGTGACTTTTTCCTTTTATTCTTCATGTAGACTCAAGTCTGACTTCACTGCAGTATGTAGCTAGTGGATACAGACTTGATTTGGCCAAATTTGACCATCTGAAACTTGATGCTAGTACTTGTATTAAGACAGTAAAGCTACTGGAGTTTAAAGACTAGTACAGATTATTTTGCTTTTTGTATGAAATTAAAAAATAAATTTAAGATACACTAAGTTCCCTTGACCACCTTGAAATCATAGATTTTACAGTCAAGCTTTGTTTTACTACTGTGAGAATTCTGTATTACCCACATTGGTAAAAAGAGATCCATCCTGTCTAACTAGGAGCATGCCAGGAGAATTTCAGGAAAAGACACCAGTCATCCTAACAGTGCAAGAAGCAAGGTAAAAGAAAGAAGAATTATAGCAATGTAAACCATTTATATTTTTTAGATCTCCAGTTTAAGGTTACTAGATATGAAATACTTAGGAGTTTTATCTCTGTAAAAATAGTTATAGTTATATTGTAATAAATGTTATAGTTATATTGTAATAAAAATGTTATAGTTATATTGTAATAAATATTTTGGCTAACAACTGCATTTTTGGCAGCAAGTAGGGGAGTTTGTGGAAATTATATGGATTATTCCTTTATTCTCAAACCTAGCTGCTATGTTGTTGATGGTATTGGGGGGAGCTGTGTATTTGATACAGGTTCTCATGGAGGTTCTGATTATTGAACCTTGAGTAGAATTCAAAATCTGTATTATTTTTAAACTCCCAAATGATTCCAGCTGACAGCCAGATTTAGCTGTCCAACAACAACAAAAGAATATTAACTTCTTTTCTTGGAAGAAATAGTCTTGAAAGGAAGGAGAGGAAAGGGAGGAAGGGGAAAGCAGGAATTAGAAATTGCCATAAAAGAAAAGGAGGAACAGAAGAAAGGAGAGAAAATAAGGGAAGAGAGAAGCAGGAATTATTCTCAATTATTTTAGTATTAGCTTTCTAAAACTATTTACATCCTTTTTCTCTTTTTTTAATTTACCCTATTTAATCAAATATGACTACTTTGTGTTCATAAGGTCGGAAATCGACATGTCTTTAATAATTAGTGACATCTAAAATTATGATAATATGGACCTGGCTATGGGAAAACTTTCTATTGACACCTATCAAGATCACTGAGTACAAGCCTCTTGGACTTGGTGATACAGTACCTTCCTTTTTATTGTAGTTAAAAGTTTTGAGTGAATTCGTTTAAAGTTTTGAACTCCACAAAGACTAGACTTTGACTAGGTATGATGGCACATGCCTATAATCCCAGCTCCTCCCGAGATGAAAGGATAAAGAATATGAGTTTGAAGCCAGTGATATTCAAACTCAAAAGCAAAATACAAATGAGCTGGGTGGGGTATGGCTTAAATGGAGGCTCTGGTTCAACTTCCCGATAGCACAAGAAAACCAAACATCTTAATTTCTGACATACAAAATTTTAGTGTTTCAACTCTTCTATCAGACATAGCTAGCCATGTTATTCAGCATTCTGTCACTACAACGAAATACTTGTGATACATTAACTTATAAAGAGAAAAGGGTTTTGATTCACAGTTTTGGAGGTTAGTCCATGACTGGGTGAATCTCTTGCTTTTAGCCCCTGGTGGGCATGCTGGCTGGCAGTAGAGGGGTGGATATGGCAGAGCAAACTCCTGACTTTGTGAATCAAGTAGCAAAAGAGAGAGAGAGAGAGGGAGGGCTTTGTCTCCCACCATCCCTTCATAACCTAAGAACCTCCAAGCTCTGAATCTCACCTCTGAAAGGTTCCACTCTGGGGAACCTTTAACGCATAGGCCTGTGCATACTTAGTTACACTTCCAACCCATGGAACACATGGACACTTACTCAAACCAGAGCACCAACCTCATAGAAATCTTGCCTGAGCTAACTGTTGTTTAGCAAAACGGGAGATTCTCTAGTCTGGCTGAGATTGCTGTGACATCTCTTAGCCGGAAGCAGTTCTGCAGCTTAGGAAATGCTGTACCACACAGCACACTTTCAAGTTTAGCTCTGCCTCCTAGATTTTCCACATACAGCTCAAATGAGTCAGAAAGAAAGACCAAGAAAAGTAACTAGCTCAAGATAGTCCTGTGAACATTCAATAGTATACTAGCTTGCTTATCTCTGATGCTTAGGTCAGATTTCAAATTGAACTGAATTTAAAAACAGGATCCTATGGTAGTAAGTTTTAATCCCTCCCTGAACCAGTATGTAGATTGAACCAAGGGCCTTGCACATGCTAGGCAAACACTCTATAACTTCAGCCACATCTCCAGCTTTGTAAAGTTTAATCTTAATTGCTAAACATGCAATAAGTAATCAGTAGGGAAGGTGGCAGCACATTACTAATGGGTTTGAAGCCTACTAATTTGAACCTGCCAAACCTCTTGAGTTTTAGTGAGTTTCAGAGGCTGACATGATAATACCAAAGTGTTTTTCACTTAGAAAGCAATGGAAATGAAAAACCACAACATAAGCAACTTTCATTCTCTCTTTAAGCTTAAATTGAATTCTGTCTGCTTGCTAAGAAAGAGCCATTTTAATTAGTTATTATATGTGACAATATGTTTTACCTACATTAATCATATATAATCTTTCTCATCTGTGTTCCAGTATTCAAAGAAAAACCTCCATATCCACCAAGTCAGGCTCAAGCCGCCCTTCAGGACAGTCCTCCTGCAGAGTACTCCTACCTGAAGTCAATAAGAAACCTGTTCAAGAACATTCCTTTTGTCCTTCTGTTGATCACTTATGGTAAGTGGTTTGCTTGTGTTTTCTTTGATGTTTATATAAACCTTTGAGCAATGTGGATTCTTTACCCTAGTGGTTTGAACCTTAGGGAGTTTTTTGTTTATTTGTTTTTTTCCTTTTTGGAAGGCCAACAACTATTTATTTCACAAAGTGAAAAAAGCAGGGAGAAATAGAAGAAATAGAAAGGGAAAGAGGAGCCAGGTGCGGGTGGCTCACGCCTGTAATCCTAGCTACTCTGGAGGCTGAGATCTGAGGAGTGCAGTTCACAGTCAACCCAGGCAGGAGAGTCATCACATAAAACGTCAGAAGTGGTGCTGTGGTTCAAGTGGTAGAGTGCTAGCCTTGAGCAAAAGGAGCCCAGGGACAGTGTCCAGGCCCAGAGTTCAAGCCCCATGATGGGCTAAATAAATAAATTAATTAAAAAAAGGGAAAGAGGAGCCTCAGAAATTTACATTTTGAACTAAAAGCAAAAAAGCCAAGATGAATGTTTTTACACATTTTATTGATTATTATCATCATTACCATCATTATTATTTTTGTGTTACTGAAGTTATGTATTTGTAAAAAAAAAAAAAAAGAAAAAAATACATCTCAAATAGAGAAGTACTGTCTTCTTTAGTGAGTTTCCAATGAGTGGACTGGCCACTTTCTCAATATAGTGATGAGCATGCAGGAAATTCTGTCAACAGTTTCTTTCTTTCACCTTGTGCAAACTGGCATTTATTAACTATAGCATTAAAAACTAGACATTTAGTTTGCTACTTGGGAGTTAGAGATTGGAGGATTGTGATTAGAGGCCATGTGTAATATATGAGATTAAGCAAACATCAGAAAAGTAGCAGTACAAGAGAAATTCCAAGCTGGGTGCCGTGCCTCACACCGTGTAATCAGGAGGCTGAGATCTGAGGATCACGGTTGAAAGCCAGCCCTGGCAGGAATGTCCCTGAGACTACTCTTATCTCCAATAAAACCACTAGAAAGCCAGAAGTGGCGCTGTGGCTCAAGCGGTAAAGTGCTCGCCTAAAGTGCTCGCCTTTAGCCGAAGAGCGCAGGGACAGTGCCCAAGCCCAGAGTTCAAACCCCACAACCAACCAAAAAAACATTTTTTAATAAAAAATTAAATTAAAAAAAAGAGAAATTCCATGGCAGGTGCTTTCTGAAGGACTTCAGGATGCATCCATAAAAGAGATAAACCAAGGCACAGGTTGCAAATGGCAAGGAAAGCACCCCCAGAGAGTGGGGGCTAGGTGGATGGGGGTAGAGCAAAGGGAAGGGGGAAGTAACATTTTCAAGGGTCAGAGGCGGTGCTTTCTTATATACTGTAATTTCTTTTGTTGTTGGTGGTGGTGGTCGTGGGACTTGAATCTGGGCCTAGGCGCTGTCCCTGCACTCTTCAGCTCAAAGCAAGCACTCTACCGCTTGAGCCATAGTACTACTTCCGGTTTCTAGTGGTTTATTGGAGATAAGACTCTTACAGATTTTCTTCCTTGGGCTGGCTTTGAACCTCGATCCTCAGATCTCAACCTCTTGAGTAACTAGATTACAGGCATGCACTGCTGGCATGTTTTTGATAACACATCACTTAGCAATCACTTGATTGTCTATAAATGATTACATTTATTGTTTAGAATTTACAATGGGCTTTTATACTTATTATTTATTTCATTCTCAGAAAACTTTTGAGATAAAAAAATGATCTCTTTTTAAAAAAATTTAAAAAAAAAATTTTTTTTGTCAGGTGTGGGGCTTAAACTCAGGTCCTGGGAGCTTTTTCACTCAAGTCTATACTCTTACTTTGAGCTACAGTACCACTTCCTGTTTTCTGATGGTTATTTGGAGATAAGAATCTCACAGACTTTCCTGCACAGGTTGGCGTGTGTGTGTGTGTGTGTGTGTGTGTGTGTGTGTGTGTGTGTGTGTGTGTGTGTGTCCTGGGGCTTGAACTCAGGGCCTGGGCACTGTCCCTAAGCTTCTTTTGTTGAAGGCTAGCACTCTATCACTTGAGCCACAGTGCCACTTCCGGCACTGAAGAATCAAACCCAGGGCTTCATGCATGCTAGCCAAGCACTCTAGCACTAAGCCACACTCCCAGCCCTCTACAGGCTGGCTTTGAACTGCGATCCTCAGATCTCAGTCTCCTGTGACGCTAAGGTTACAGGCATGAGCTACCAGTGCCCAGCTCTAGATTATCTCTATTTTATAAATGAAGAGATTTATATATATTAAGAGTTTTTAAAGTTTTGGATTCTTTTTATTTATACATGAAGGTAACATAAAATTCAAAAGGCTACAAAGAATATACAGTCCAAAGTTAGTCTTAGCTGGGTGCTGTTGTCTCATACCTATAATCCTAGCTATTCAAGAGGCTGAGATCTGAGGACTAAAGTTCAAAGTAGCCTGGGCAGGAAAGCCAGGAGACTCTTATCTCCAGTTAAGCCAAAACTGGAACTGTGGCTCAAATGCTAGAGTGTTAACCTTGATCAAAGAAGCTCCGGGACAGTACCCAAGTCCTGAGTCCAAGCCCCAGGACTGGCACCAAAAAAAGGTCTTAGTTCCACCTGTCACTAGTTCTCTTTGGAGCTAATTATAACTTCTGCAGCTTATTTTTATCAAGTTGTTTTGCCTTGATGAAGCATCAAAAATCTGACAGTAGGCTCAACTGCTAAGATCTAAAGATTGCAGTTCTAAGCCAGCCGAAACAGATAAATCTGAGGGACTCTTATCTCCACTTAGCCTGCAGAAAACAGGAACTATAGGTATGGCTCAACTAGAGTGCTAGCCATAATCAGAAAAGGCCAGGCAAGAATGTAAGACCCTGAGTTCGAGCTCCAAACCAGTACTTTAAAAAAAAGCTGAGATCAGGTGCTGGTGGCTCACGCCTGTCATCCTAGCTACTCAGCAGGCAGAGATCCGAGGATCACAGTTCAGAGCCAGCCAGGCAGGAAAGACCATGAGATTCTGTCTCCAGTAAACCACCAGAAAACTCTCAAGTGGTAGAATTAGCCTTGAGCTGAAGAGCGGAGGGACAGCGCCCAGGCCCAGAGTTCAAGCCCTATGACTGACCAAAAACAAAAAATAAAATAAAAAATCTGCTATGGTGGACACAGACTTTTTTATCATATGACTGACTCTGTTTCAAACATCCATGCCCTCCAAAAAAAGATATATTTTTAAATAATAACAACCAAAATTACAAGAATTTTGTAATAATCTGGAACAATTCTATCAAAAGATAATGGTAGAAAAAGTTATAAAATATTAAAAGGCATAAAAGGAGACCCAATTTATTTTTCTTTTGTTGGTGTGGGGCTTGAACTCAAGGCCTGGGCGCTGTCCCTGAACTCTTTTCTTCAAGGCTCGGTGAGCCATAGCTGCACTTCCAGTTTTTGAGTGGTTAATTGGAGATTAACTGCTCATGGGAACTTTTCTGCCAGGCTGGCTTTGAACCTTAATCCTAAAATTTTAGCCTCCTGAGTAGCTAGGATTACAGTCATGAGCCACTGGCATCTAGTCAATTTAAATGGAGGGATTGAAATGATGCCAGTTAATGCTACAGGACCACTACATTGACCACTACATTGCAGTGGGAGATTAGATTGTTGAAAAAGGCAGACACAGAGGCTGGCTAGGAAGTTAAACCATTTGTTCTCTTGAAGGAATATAAGAAAACAGGAAACCCCACAGAGAGTCCAACTCTGTTCTCCATCCCAGGTAGAAAGTCTCTTGACCTCATGTCCTTTACCGGTGAGATGCAGAGTTAGTTTGAGTGAGGGTGATATCACTGAACCATTGGAGGAGCATTCTTTCCCCTCCTCCCCGCCATGTATTTTATATACAAGATCAGAATAGTCTTGCACATAAGATAGTCTGGGATCAAGAATAGCACTCCTAGGCCAGGTGTTCAGACTGTATTGATAGTATCCAAAACTCAAGAACCAAATGGAAAGTATATTTTTTTCTGAGTTTGAACTATTTTGGGGGTGGGGGCAATGATTCTTCACTGTCTCAAGTATTAATCATGAGAGCATTATTAATCTTTTCCAATGGCAGTGCTCCATGATCTAATTACCTTGCTTTACATCCCACCTTGAGATTCTAGTGAATGAACCTTTAGGGGGATACACTCAAACCATTCCCAAACAGTATATAATTATGGTGTTAAATTCATTAGTGCACATTCTTTTTTTTTTATGGTCAGTCCTGGAGCTTGAACTCAGAACCTGGGCACTGTCCCTGAGCTTCTTTTGCTCAAGACTAGTACTCTACCACTTGAGCCACAGCACTACTTCTAGCTTTTTCTGTGTATGTGGCACTGAGGAATCGAACCCAGGGCTTCATTCATGTTAGGCAAGCACTCTACCACTAAACACATTCCCAGCCCTAGTCCACATTCTTTTTTTTTTTTTCGTTGAGAACAGGTATTCTGTAGCCAAGGCTGTCTACAAACTCAAGATCCTTCTGTGACCTGCCACGTATTATTGGAACTACAGGCATACATTGCTCTACCCATTCTAAAAAAGAAAGGAAATAGTTTTTGTTGTTGTTAACTAACTGTCAACTTACATTTTCACAAATGTCATGTAGTATTCCATATTACTTTATGAACTGGCAAATGATATATTTGTAATTTCTTATTATTATAGGTATCATGACTGGAGCATTTTATTCAGTTTCAACATTGTTAAATCAAATTATGTTGACCTGCTGTAAGGTAAGCTTCTGCTTTTATCATTGCATGGTTGGCCAAGATTGTTTCTTGTTCTTTAGTAATGTAATTCCTGTTGGTATGATTGTAAGCCTGTCACTTAGCTAGAGGGCGGGCATGTTTCACTGTGCCAGCTATGAAGAAAGGGTCTTGAGAACTTTTCTTTTCCAGCTGTCCTTGAGCCATGATTCTTCAATTCTCAGTTTCCCACATAGCTAGGATTATAGGCATGAGCCTCTGGGGCCTGGCTTTTTAATGTATCTTTATTTCTGCCCCTCAACTCTATCCCATGTACTAAGTCTTTCTATTGTATGCTTAATTTTATCTGATTATTTCCATTTAGAGATGTGGGAATATGAAAAATCTACTTGAATTAGAAATAGTGATTAATTTCCTCTGCAAATTGTCTTCAGGAAGAAGTGTATGCTGGAAGGATTGGGTTAACACTGGTAATAGCTGGCATGGTGGGCTCTATTCTGTGTGGCTTATGGCTGGATTACACTAAAACATACAAGTAAGTGAGAATATTTATTTGTTATATATCGTGTCTGACCAAATGTATTTCCATTAAAAATTTCACTTTATATTTTAAAGGATTTTAAAAGTGTTAATTACTTTATGACTTAGATTCTTTGTTTATGGCAGGCTTAGAGTTTGAACTCAGAGTCTCATCTTACACCATATGTCTTACCCTAACTTACATTCTTAAAGCCTGTAGGTTCTCTTCACTTAGCAAATATTTCAGTAGTCTTATCTATTTTAGTTTGTGGTAGTCATGTTTATTTCCAGCTTAACTTCAATATCTTTTGAGGCTTCTTTGTATACATCTACACACACACACACACACACACACACACACACACGCGCGCGCATGCGCGCGCGCGTGTTTGTGCATGACTCTGGGTGATTGATTGTAGTTAGTAGTCAGTCCCTAAGGAAGAAAAGGAGGGAAAAAAGGAAGGGAAGACGGAGGGAAGAAAGGAAGAAGGAAAGAAAGAAGGAAGGAGAGAAAGGGAAAGGGAAAGGGAAGAGAAGAAAGAAAGAAGAGAGGGAAGAAGAAAGAATGGAAAGAAAGAAAGCTGGGAGAAAGAAAATAAAATGAAAAAAAGAAGGAAGAAAGGAAGAAGATACTTTTTTAGAACAGAATATTTATCTAAAAGAGAAGCATGTGACTTGACAAACTTGTCCTTTTTTTGTGTTGTGGACTTAAAAACAAAACCTTGTTCTTTCCTCATCAAAACATTCTTGTTGAGCAGAAGGCTTTTTTTTTTAAGTAAAACAATTTTGTCTAGAATGTCCCCAAAACACAGCACTACAGATCTAAAACAAACTGCATAATGCAGTATGAGCAAATGATACCCACTGGGAGAACAGGTAGGGATTGAAAGGGGGTGTCTTATGCTGGAGGTCTTCAAAATAATATGCACATTTCTTCCTTTCTTGCTTGCTTGTTTGCTTTCCTTTATTTTTTTTTTTTTAGTCAGTCATGGGGCTTGAACTCAGGGCCTTGGCACTGTCCCTGAGCTCTTTTGCTCAAAGCTAACACTCTATCACTTTGAGCCAAGCTCAAGTGGTTAATTAGAGGTAAGAGTTTCATGAACTTTCCTGCCTGGGCTGGCTTTGACCCACAATCCTTAGATCTCAGCCTCTTGAGTAGCTAGAATTATAGGTATGAGCCACTGGTGCCTGGCTAATTTAATTTGTTTTTAACATTGACTTGTTTATGCCACACTGCTGCTTAAACTCAGAGCCTTGCATTTGCTAGGCAGGTCCTCTAACCACTTGAGACATATCTGTAGCCTTTTTTCCTTTAGTTATTTTTCAGGAAGGGGCCTGTAGTTTTTGCTTGGGACCAACCTCAGATGGTGACTTAGCACATAGCTGGGCTGACAAATGCACACCGTCACACTCAGCTTGTTGATTGAAGTAGAGTCTTGCTAACATTTTTCCCAAACTGGCCTCAAACCAGGATCTTTGTCTTCTGAGAAGCTGGATTTGAAGTCTATTCTTTAGTGGATCCATTTCTACAACCAAAAAAAGTGAATTTTGAACAAGAATTATGAAATAGAGCAGTGGCTAACCACATTGTTATTGTTATATGTCTAAGAGAATCAGAATAAATGTTAACTATTTTATTGTTTTTATTTTAGACAGACTACTTTGATAGTTTACATTTTATCTTTTATTGGAATGGTTATATTTACTTTCACACTGAACCTTGGATACATTGTGTTTATTACTGGAGGAATACTTGGGTAAGTATTTTAGAGGAAACGATACCCTATCATGATATTTTTCAAGTATTGTTTTGTTGTTGTTTTTTTAATTAATGTTCATAGCTTCATCCAAAAGTTGTTAAGATTTTAAACTCTAAAAGATCCATTCTATACATTTAAATGTATAATTTCTTAGAACTCTAATGTAATTATTTGGGTATACTCTTAGTGGAAAATAGGTAAGCCTTATTTGGTCTAAGTAACTGTTTATAAAGACAGTTAACTTAGAAAGCTAGAGCTAAACTTAGAAATTATTTTGCCTCCTGGTTCTTGTGATGTTGGGCTTGTTGGTCAGTAGCAATTGTTACGTAGTTTTACTTGGCAACTTCAAAATATTTCCTTATTTACTCATTGGAACAAGCCTGAGATCTGGAATAATTGTGTCCCAGTGTAATATTGTCTTTCTGATAAGTCTCTCTGTAATTCTGGATGTGTTCTAGTTTCTTCATGACTGGCTATCTGCCCTTGGGTTTTGAATTTGCTGTTGAAATCACTTACCCTGAATCAGAGGGCACCTCATCTGGGCTCCTTAATGCTGCCGCACAGGTAAACCTCTGATTTCCCTAAAGCCAAGAGGACCAGTCCATCAACATGTCCAATGAGTAATGAGTTTGACTGTAATTTTGGTTTATAACAATCCTACTTTTCAATGATTGTTTCTGGAAGCCAAATCACATGAAGAAAATTAGTTAAGAAAAGTTCTTGGGATAAGGAGAGAATTTGTACTTGTTTTAAAGAAGCAAATTTAATAAAAACCATTTCTCTTATTGTAGGTTTTTGGAATTTTGTTCACATTGGCTCAAGGAAAACTCACAACAGACTATGGTCCTATGGCAGGGAACATTTTCCTCTGTGTCTGGCTGTTCTTAGGAATCATTCTAACAGGTCAGGACATGTGTCTGGCAAAAATATTTATGTCATATTGTCTTCATATTTAACTTTTCTGTGTATTGCTTCTTACTGGCTAGATAGTACTCAAGTGCTAAGGGTTAAAAGAGAAGTCAAAAGCAGGGCAATGTTTGCTTCTCAGGATATAAATCTGTCAGTTCATTTTGGAGGTTTCAAAATCAGTATAATTACTCTAACATACACACACACACACAACAACAACAACAACCTTGTAATGATCATTGAAAACCTAAAGTTGGGTGATCCTTGTCTTAAACTCTGATTCTGCTGTTCACCACCTATGTGAGCAGCAGGTAATATACAAGAACACAGCTAACACAGGTGATTGCTGTGGCCCCCAGCAGCTCCCTGTTTCCAGGTGACTGGACAGGAAACCCTTGTAGACCTCACAGACCTTGCACAGAGTTTGGAGACTTGGGGGGCTCCCATGCCTGTAAAATCACAGAGTAGGAGCCCGTGCTGTACCCCCTCCAGCCCCACATCTAAACTGCTACAGCTTGGCACCATCTTGGAAATAGACCTACTGCTAGTGTCCCACCCTGGGATATGCCACCATCATTATTCCCCACTTTCATGAGATCTGATACCCAAACTTACCCCCAGCCAGTACTTCTCCCAGAAAAGTCAGACTAGCTCAGGCACCCACATGTTCCTAAGTTGGGCCCACAAGTGAAGGAGATGGTAACTCCAACAACTGGAAAGCCTGCCGTACAGACACCAGTCTGCAGCACCTGCGGCTACCACACCCAGCTTGTCGGCCAGGCAAGACTCCTAATTTTAGTAAAACAATGCCATGCCACAACACAGTGGAAAGCCACTAACACAACCATAGACTTGGCTGACAGGATTATAGCTGAAGAGATTGCACAGATACTCTATTGCTGAGCCCACTCAGAATCAAAGCTAACACACTGACCCACTGATACCCATAACAGGAAAAATGAAAAATAGGGAGAGAGGGAAGGCAGGGAAGGGAATCAGAGGGAAGGGAGAAGAAGGAAGGGAAGGAAAGAAGAGACAGAAGAAAGAACAAAAGAAGAAAGGCAAGAGGAGTGAAGGGAGGGAGAAAGAGAAAGGGAGGGAATAATGGTGGAATGATGATGGGAAGAGGAGCAGAGAGAGGAAGGGAGGAAGTTAGGAAGGGAAGGAAGGAAGGAAAAAAGGAAGGAAGGAAGGAAAGGCAGCAAAGCCGGCAGGAAAGCTGGCTTCCTAAATCTGGGAGTGAAAGGACAGTGATTACTACTATGAAAATACAAGACTCACTGGTAAAGACACAAATGAAGAAGATAATAAAATCAGACCAAGTACTATAGAAAACCATCAAGATTATCAGTAAATGAGAAAGAGGAGCCAGTTATATATAAAGCAGCCAGAAAACAATGAGCCACTAAAAAAGGTTTAAAATAGTATAATTGGTAGGCTAAAAAAGAAGAGAAAAATCATAAAATATTTAATTAAAACCACAAAAGGTAGAAAAAGAATGGAAGACAAAAATTGGAATGAACAAGGGCAACAGGTGGAGAACAGCAGAAATGGTAGACATTGATTCAACTTCGTCAGTAATCCTCCACGCACCAGTTAGAAGACGGGCAGAGTGGGTCAAAACACTACGTTAGCTATCAGAAATACATCTTTGCAGAGGAAGAATAAATGGGTACAGAAAGATCTAAGGAAGCACTAAATTAAATTAGGACTTTCATTTCTACTTTGCTTTATGACTAATTCAGTTACCTCCTCCTCCTCCTCCTCCTCCTCCTCCTCCTTCTCTTCCTCCTCCTCCTCCTCTTTGTCTTCATCTTCCTCTTCCTCTTCTTTTGTGGTATGGTGGTTTGAACTCAGGGCTTCTTGCCTGCTGGGCAGACACTCTCCTGCTGAGTCCTACTTCCAATACTTCTGTATCACCTATTTTTAGATAGGGTTTTGCTTTTTGTCTGGGGGGGCATCCATGGACCTTGATCTTCATATTTAATATTTGCCTCCATAGTGGGATGAAAACATGTGTCACTGTGTCCCACTCCTTCCATTGAGATGTTTTCTTACACAGATTTTTTTTAACCCAGGCTAGCTTGAATTGTGATCCTGTTTAATTGAACCTTCTGAGTAGCTGGGATGAGAGGGGTATGTCACCACACCTAGCAATAGGTTAAGAAGCGTATCTTGCAGACTTTTTAGCCAGGCAGGCCTTGAACTGAGTTCCTCCCAACCTCAGTCTCCTACAGTTTGGATGACAGGTATGTACCACTCTGACTAGCTCTGGGTTGAGAAGGGGTATCAAGATTTTTTTTCCCAGGTTGGCCCCAAACCACTGTCCTCTGAATCTTATTCTCCCAGGTAGCAGGTGTAAGCAACTGTGCTCTCTATATCTTCTTGTATACTTTTTTTTTCTTTTGGTTCCGGTCGTGGGGCCTGAACTCTGGGCCTGGGCGCTGTCCCTCAGCTCTTCAGCTCAAGGCTAGCACTCTACCACGTGCGCCACAGAGCCACTTCCGGCTTTTTTCTTTTTGCTTATATGGTGCTGAGGAATCGAACCCAGGGCCTCATGCATGCAAGGCAAGCGCTCTACCACTGAGCCACCTTCCCAGCCCCTGTTGTATACTTTTTTGGTCAATCTATAGCTTTACCACTTTCGCACTAATAACATAAAAATCTCCACCTCCAGCCCTGGCCTGTGTTGTGTGTTCAGCCATATCCTCTGACGTGATGTTCCACGGCGTCTTATAACTCGGCCTGTCCAGAAATGAATTTATCATCTTTCTGTCATACCTATTGCCCAAGCGAGAAAACTCCAAAGCTTCCCAGTTTTCCTTCTCCCCTGCCAGGCATACGCATTCCATATTTTACCAAAGCCCAGACCTTCGTGCTTCCATTCTAAAATAACCTCCAAAACCTGCTCCTGAGAGCACCTTGCTACTGCCATCGTTCACACATCCAAGCACCCCCCTTTCTCAGCAGGACTCCCTGTTGTCTGAACTTGCTGCTGACTTTCCTCTTCTTCCTTGCTGTCCGCTTGCTCTCCTTGGTGAGGAGGCCTGATGGCATTGCTCCTCTGCTCTGCTGCAGAGGCCTGTGTGACAGACATCGTCTCCTGCAGCCTCCCTCTCCTTCTTGGTTCCCAAACAATTGCTGTACACTTTCTGCCCTGCCTTTCCTGAACTTTTTTTTGCCAGGGCTAGCCTGGAACTGCAATCCTCCAATCTCAGCCTCCCCCTCAGTAGGTATGACAGGGCTGTGCCTCTTGGGTCCAGATGTTGGTCAGTGCTCAGGCTGTCCTCAAACCACAATCCTTCCCAACTCAGTCTCCCAGATAGTGTCACTTTGGTGGCCCTCCCCGGTTCCCTTTGGCTCACAGGCTGTTTTCCTCCCGTGTTCTCTTGTACCTTGTTCATACCTGTAGTGCTGTGGTGGTCATCTGATGCTGTAATTTGTCTCTGTAATGTTAGTTCCTCACATCTTGTATTTGTTAACTAATGAATGACTTAGCAATTAAGTGAAAGGCCTAGAGAGGAATTTATTCGGGTTACAAGGGTGTTGTTGGATGTCACAACATTGGAGTGTGTTAATTTGATTATGTGTTCACAAGCAGCCCATGGTGACTCCATTGATTCTCCTCTGTTTCAGCATTGATCAGGTCTGATCTGAGAAGACACAATATAAATATAGGACTTACAAATGGTGAAATCAAAGCTGTAAGTACTATTTTTTTAAACAGTTATACTGTAGAGAAAGATATGTAGGGCAAATGTGAAATCATTTTTATTTAGCTATTATTTTCTAAGTCAGTTGTCGATTTATTAAAATAACATTTGCAGCCAGGTGCCAGTGGCTCACACAGAGCTACTCAGGAGGTGGACAGCTGAGGATCACTGTTCGAAACCAGCCTGGGCAGGGAAGTTCATGAGAGTCCTTTGGCCAGTTAACCATCAAAGAGCCAGAAATGGAGCTGTAGCTCAAGTGGTAGACACTAACCTGAGGTAAAAGGCTCAGGGACAGTGCCTAGACTCTGAGTTCATGCCCCAAGATTGGCACAAAAATAAATAAATGAATGAATAAGAGCATGTGCTATACATGTTTTGTATTCTGATTCCTTGCACAGGTGCCAGTTGATAGTCCTACGGATCAGAAACCCAAAGCAGTTGTATTAACCAAGCAGTCAGAATCATCCATTTGAAGTGAGAGGAAAAATTGCTGTCCCTCAGTAATTGGGATACCACCTGGCCGTCTTTGGAGGGAGCTACGAATCGTATGGCTAACTTTACAGGTGGTATGGATGGACATGTACTTGGAAAGTATTTTATGAACACTATAGGAAGCATTATTGTTACTTTAAGAAATATTTTGCTTAGAGTGCTATTTCTTAGATCATGTTAACACTACCATTTATCTGGTAGTGCTCCATTTTTTTTAATTGTGAAAATACCATACAGAGGGGTTACAATTACATGGGCAATTTCTTAACAAGCATTGTTGCCTTCTCCTTTGTTTCCCCTTCCCATCTCCTCCCTCCACCCCCACCCCAGTGCTCCATTTTAAGTTGTATTTTATACTTGCAAATGAGGTTCTTAAAAACTATTTTTTCAGATATTTTTTTCCTTTTTCTTCTTTCTTTTTTTTCTTGCTTTCTTTTTTTTTTCTTTTCGTTTTCTTTTCTTTTTTTGTAGAGAATGGAAGCTTAGGAGACTTTAAGATGATAATGTGGGAGTCAATCTTCCTAAGATAGATTAAAGTACATGCCACTTATTTGTGAGAATATTTATTCAGTGGGACCAAATGGAATCTACCTTTCCACTGTGCAGGCTCACTGTCCAAGCCAGCTAGTGTGAGCACTGTGGATAGCCGCAAGGGCAGCACATCAACAGACAGGATTGGGATCAGATGAGCTTCCAGAGGAGCTCTGAGATTTTGTCCCTTCCCTTCCTTTTCCCTTCCCTGTCTCTTTCTCTTTTTCTTTTTCTTTTTTTTTTCTTTACCTTTCTTCTTCCTGCCTTCTCTTCTCTTTTCCTTTCCTTTCTTTTCTTTTGCATTACTAGGGCTTGCACTTGCTAAACAGGTGCTCTACTACTTGAGCCATGCCCTTTTCCCTTTTCTGCTCTAGTTATTTCTTTAATAGGAGTCTCAAATTCCTGAACCATAGTCTATTTACTCTTCTCTTTTCCTTGGGAATACATATGTATGCCACTGCATTCAGTTTTTATTGGTTGAATGAGATCTCACCTACTTTTTTGCCCAGACTGGCCTCTTAACTGTGATCCTCCTTATTTCTGCCTCCTGAGTAGCTAAGATACAGGTGTGAGCCACTGCACTGGGCTGATTTTTACTGTTTATAATACTGTTACAAAGTGTGTTGTAACAGGTACTATCTATGGCCACAGAAACTGATCTGGGAAGGTTCTGTCCATGATTCTGGCCTTAGAATTATGCCCTAATTAAGCTGAGAGGCTCAGGCATAGGTACAGGAAAAGAACTTGAATTCTTTTCTGTACTGCCCTCCTGTCACAGATAAATGCTAATGCTATACTTTTCCAGTCTGATTTGAAATAGAGTAGCTTTATATCTATTGTACTTAAAAACAAACAAACAACTCTCTTCTTTTTCCCAATATGTAACTTTCTAGCAAGAAAATGACATGTGCTACTATCTCTTTTCATGGTATCCTGTATCACTTCATAGATTTGCCTTGACAATTCTGGAGATTAGGAAATGTGTACAGTACTAACTCTAGACAGCCCAGGTGTCCCCATTTAAGTGTTGACCTGTTGCAATATCAATGGTTCTAATTCTGCAGTGTCATGGAATGACCATTGTCTCTTGAGGAATACTGTGCCCAGACATGTGTCCCATTGTGTATGAATGGGGCCCTGGGTTCTTTCCTTCCCCACAGTGTACATGCTCACCACCCTCTGGGACAGTCGCTATCTTACATGCTCAGGGTAGGGAGAACAGGACCAAATGTATTTCCACAGTGCCTATCACTGTGTTCTGTTTACAGTGAGACTTTAAATGTTGGTGATGTCCTGACTAAGCTTATAGGAAAAAGCTGGTAGTAATCACATCTGATCAACCGTAATATTTACATGATGTCCATGTGTGCAAAAAAACCCGACCAGGCAGTGAATACACTGAATAGCAGTTTTGCTATAGGCAGAATATATATGTTAACTTATCTGGAAATTGTAATATGCTGAGTAATCCAAGGACTATAAATTATGTAGAGTCTGACACTGGAGATGAGTGACTGAAATGACACAGCGGTGAGTCAGGAGCTTGGCTGCGCTGGCTGTGTCTTGATGTGTTCCTGTCACTGGAACTATGAACAGGTTGTTTCACCTCTGGGCAGTATTTTGCTGCCCATGTAAGGAATGTGTTCACTTTGATCTTAAAGATCTCCCCTCCCACCCCCATTTCCATGCTAGACACAGCTCCTCAAAGTGCACAAATTATGTACAAGTTACCCAAGTGCTCACCACTGAGCTCTCTTCATTCCCAGCTCTTTCAGTAGACCAAAGCATTGTATCACAGGCACTGAAATTTAGCTAGAGAAAAATCCTCTGGGCAGTTGGATCAACAATTAGTAAGGTCACTCACTTAATGGATAGACTTGCAAATCCATTATTAGCCTTTTTTAAGAGAGTCTACAGTAGTTCAAGCAGACTATGCCCAATCTATAGCTTCTTTTGAATATTTTTATCACAAGTGAAAGTGGCCAAAAAATATAGTATGGATTCACCTTCCCCCCAAAAAACCCTGATTTTATTTTTAAATTGTCAGTATTGTTTAAAATAATCATGTATTTACTGAGTCCCTGAGCTTTTGAACAAATTACAGGTAGGAGCTGGAATGTATGTTTGTAAAGAGTATATGCCTTTGTGTTGTTTGTATGTTTCCTTGCCTACAAAAGGGGGAAATATGTGACAATGTAAAATGAACTGATAATTTTTCTGTGTTTTGAGCAAAAGTTGTCAATAATATATCAACAAGGATGTTATATAACTTTATGTCATAACTTTGGAATAATGCACTATGTAATGACCATCTGTGTATGATTTAAGGAAAGGAATTGGATGCTTTCAAAAGCTCTTGGCAGGGGCTGAGTGTGTGGTTTAATGGTAGAGTGCTTGCCCAGCATGCGTGAAGCCCTGGGTTCAATTCCTTGGTATCACATAAACGAGAAATAAAATAAAAAGGAGTAACAGAGTGGTTTTTTTAAGCTATTTTAAAATGTTGCAAATACAGCTTTTAACTTTTTGGGAACATTGGCAAAACTTCTTGAAAATTATGTTTTGTGTATACAATATGTTCTGTGTTCAATAGATGAAAAAATGTCATTACATTCTATCTTTTGCCCTTTTTACAGTTTATGATTAAGGTTGTTCTTCATTATTTCATACTCGAAATAAATTTATTTTTTTTAATGTTAATGTTGTCTGCCTTTTCCAAAATGAGTTTTGGACTCCTTTTTGAGTTTTGGGACTCATGGAGAGTGGAAAGCATTATAGGATTTCACAATGGGTGGAGGAGAGAAAGAGGTACTACATAAAACACAAGGAAACAAAAATATTTTATTCATTTAACAATAACCAGCCAGGCACAATGGCGCAAGCCTATTATTTCTAGCTACTTGGGAGGCAGAGATCCACAGGGGTTTTTGGTTGTTGTTGTCAAGCTTTTTTTTTTTTTTTTACATTATTTGCTTGTTTGTTTATTCTTGCTGGTTCTGGGGCTGTAACTTAAGGACTCACATTCTTGTTCCACTTTTTTTCTCTCAAGACTGGCACTCTACCACTTGAGCCAAGCTTCCAGTTCTGGCTTTTTGCTAGTTAATTGGAGATAAGAGTCTAATTGGGCTTGCTCCAAACTGCAATTTCCAGATCACAGCCTCATGAGCAGTTAGGATTTCAGGCATGAGCCACCAGTGCCCAGGAGGACTGTATTTGAGGCCAGCCTAATTATAGGAGTTCAGGATACTCCATCTATCCAGCGTCTGAGAGCAGTAGTGTGCTATCATCCTGCTGAGGAAGTACAGTGGCTCATGCCTGTCACTTCATCTGTGCTGGAAAACACAAGTAAGAGGATCACAGCCCAGTCTGCCTGTCATAAAGCCAAACCTTACCTCAAAATAACCAAGGCTGCCAGGTGCCGGTGGCTCACATTTGTAATCCTAGCTACTCAGGAGGCTGAGATCTGAGGATCACAGTTCAAAGCCAGCCTGAGCAGAAAAGTCCATGAGACTTTTATCTCCAATAAACCACCAGAAAACTGGAAGTGGTGCTGTGGCTCAAGTGGTAGAGCACTCACCTTGAGCTGAAGAGCTGAGGGACAGCGCTCAGGCCCAGAGTTCAAGCCCCATGACCAAAAAAAAAAAAAAAACCAAGGCAGAAAGGTCTGGAGTTGTCACTCAAAGGTAGAGTAGTGGGAGGGCCTGAGTTCAATCCCCCATACCATAAAAAAGCAAACCCAGCTTGAGAGTAATGTCTGCAAGATGGCAGATAGGAGTGTTTTACTAATATCTTTTGAAGCAACTTGTTTCTGCCTGTAGACAGATGGACTTTTGGGAGGTCAAGAAATCCAGTTTCGTGGTTTCAACACCAACTGAGTGGAAAAACCTCATAGCAGATGCATTGGAGAAAGCATGAATGGATTCATTGAACCACACTCCCATCCCCGTAAGAGTGGCATAGCTCAGTGCCAAGAGAGACTCCATCATGCTGATTTCTGCCAGGAAAAGTGAAAGTAGAAGGTGTGAACATTTGCTCTCTCCAGAATTATTGGATGCTTCCCCCCAAAGCAGCTGCTTCTCCCAACCCGAATATCATCTAGTTAGATTATGTGATTGGTGTGCAACATTTCACTGCCTCAAAGGCACCGTGAGCCTTTTGAAGGTATAAGCATGGTGTAAGCTGCAAACAAGGACTTTGGAGCTGGGCACTGGGGGCTCATACCTGTCATCCTGTCTGCTGAGGAGACTGAAATCTGGGAATCATGGTTCAAAGCCAGTCCACAGAAGAAAAGTCCTCATCTCCTACTAACCAGAAAAAGAAAGCTAGACTAGAGGCATTGCTCAAGTGGTTATGTGAAAAACAAAACAAAACAAAAACCTTAACTGTCCTCAATTGTCTAGTGAGATCCTGGTTGTGGCCAGTGTTCCTGAAATCAGTGTTAGTCCTAAGCCCGAGTCCCCAGTGCTTGGAGACACCCATTTCCACTCAAAGATGAAGAAATAGCACCCTCTGTTGGTTATTTTAAGAACTTTCAGATTAGATGAAATTTCACTTAGAGTGTGTGTGTATGTGTGTAAGGGGAAGAAAGGATGTGCATATTTCTACAGATTTGGGAATATTACTTAAATGAATTGGCATGTGTCCTCCATCCTTACACACACACACACACACACACACATACACACACACACACACAGAGGTAAACAAATGAGTGGCCTCACATTGCCTGGACAATGTAGCATGTGTTAAATACTGGCAGTCAACCTTGCAGGTTTCTAGTTTCATATCTGAGCCTAGACTGAATAAGCTTCGGGCAGCAAGGTTGCGCAGGATGTTAACTCTGTACAATGTTTTTCACTGGAGGCTGCTCCCCCATGGAACCCTCTGTTCCCTCTGGTCACACTGGGGCGCTCATCCTTACCATCCTTCCTGCCAGCTTTCTCCATTCTCCATTCCTTCCTGCTACCCAAGATCAAGAAGCAACTCTGCAGGTTACTAACCTCTGAGTGGAATTTTACGATCTGCATGTTGGGAGTCAGGCGGGAGTCTGCCTCAAATGAGAGGGTAACTCAGGATGCCTTCCAGTCAGTGCCTCTGTCCCTCCCCTGCCCTCCCCACTGTCACATGGTTAAAACTGTCTAGGTGTCAGGCAGACAGCTGTTCCAGCACGTGGGACACGTGCCTTGGAAATCCTACGGTCACCTAGATCCTTTCATTAAAAAAAAAATGCAGATAGAGCTGGATGCTAAAAGTGCTTAGCCTACTGCTGTGTCTGAGAGAAGAGGCCTAAGATAAGGCAAGTGGCCTTTGTCCCTGGACACTCGCCCTTGCTTGCACTGTCTGCGTGCTGCCTGATTAGGCTGAACCTTAAGGGATCAGTGCGTTTTTTCCCTTCTTCCCCTCCCCCTTCCTTTCCCCAGGCTCCCCACACTCCTAACATTAGCTCAGAGTGAGCCCTGGGGCCTCCGTCCCTTGGTGGGTACGATCCCCCTGGAGTTTTATGCTCTCCAGGTGTATCTTGGAGCCTGACACCACTACCATCACCACCACCACCATCACCACCACTACTCTTCATTAGTCCCATCCTAGAGGATTCTTCAGCTAGCTATGCCTGGTCTCCATGAAGTGTATGTAAGGTCCGCTCCTGGATGGCTAGCAGACTCCGCCCTCCTCGCAGCCAAGTCTCCACCCAGTACCTGCGTTACCTAGGCAACTGGGACACCTGGAAGAGGTCACATTTGCATCCGCTGAGGTCACATCTGAATTTGAAGTGGCCACACCTTTCTCGGCCCATACCCTAGATAAGGCCTAGCCCAAGCCCAGACGCCCTCTCTCTGCTCTTTTCTAGCTCTTTCTCAGCTCTTTCCTTCTCTTCTCTTTCCCAGCTCCCTTCTCTTTCCTAGCTTGCTCTTTCCCAGATGCTCTCTTTTCTAGCTCTTTCTCTCTTTCCCAAGCTCTCCCAGCTCTCTTTCCCAGGCCTTTCCCCACCGCATGGAGGACCAAGATGGCCTGGTGCCAGCCGGAACGATGAATAAACCTACCCTTACCTGAATACCACGTGCGTGCTGCTGTTCTTACTCGGTTACCTCTTTTTTAAAAACCTAACAGTGTATTCAAGTATGGCTTAAGTCTTAAAAATGATTCTCTGGGTAGATCCTTTGGGTCCTATTCTAGAACTTGTAGATTTTCTAGTGACTTCTAAAAATTGTTCCCTAATCTGCTGGGTACCTGCTGCCTCTTCAGTTCCTATTCCCTACTCCAGCCCCCAGCCCCTGACTCCTCCAGAATCTGGGAATGTGGTTCACCCTGTGGCCACTGGGTGGCAGGGAGAAGCCCTTTCTTACCGCCCTGGTCCTGGGGCTCTCCTCCCCTCCAGTGAGGGTGTTCAGATTGTGTGCACTGAACACTTTGGGTGCATCTCTTGTTACTGTTAGGTTTTTAAAAAGAGGTTGTGTGCCGAGTAAGAACAGCACCAGCACGCACGTGGTATTCAGGTAAGGGGTAGGTTTATTCAGTAGACCTGATGGGACCAAGCAAGGTTGGCACTCCACGTGGCTGGGAAAGGCCTGGGAATGAGAGAGAGCTGGGAAAGAGAGGAGAGAGAGGAAAGAGCTAGAAAAGAGCAGGGAGAGGGGTAAGAACAGTAGCACGCACGTGGTATTCAGGTAAGGGGTAGGTTTATTCAGTAGACCTGCTGGGACCAGGCAAGGTTGGCACTCCACGTGGCTGGGAAAGGAAAGAGGAAAGAAAGGAAAGAGAAAAGAGCTAGAAAAAGGAGAGAGAGCTAGAAACGATCAGAGAGAGCCCCTGGGCCTGCGATAGGCCTTATCTAGGGTATGGGCGGGGAAAGGTGTGGCCACATCAAATTCAGATGTGACCTCTTCCAGGTGTCCCAGTTGCCTAGGTAACGCAGGTACTGGGTGGAGACTTTGCTGCGAGGAGGGTGGAGTCTGCTAGCCATCCAGGAGAGGACCTAACAGTTACGTGTGTGGCTTTGGGCAGCTTCTTTGAAGAGCTGAGTTTCTGATTCAGATGGTCTGGACAAAGGGCTGAAGGGTTGCATTCCTGACAAGTTGTAGGTAATATGGCTGACGATGGTCCGGGGACAGTGTCAGGAACGTGAAGCCCCTTTAGACTCCTGGCAGCCCAAGGCTTGTGCTTGCCTGGCCTCCCAAGGAGAGGTAACACAACCCTGCCTGGAATCCTCTAGGAGCAAAGTCTTTCCCTAACATGCCTTGTCACTGAGTCCCCAGAGCCCCTGCCCACCAAAGGCCTCAACGGGCAAACAAATCAGCCTTTCTCCAACAACAGGAGCTCAATAGCGAGCAGGCACCCTGGAGAGAGAACAGGAAGAGCAGAAAAGAAACAGGAGAAGGTCAGAAAGGAAGAGAGCCGACAAGATAGCCACCTGGCCGCTGGGAATGCTGTGTTCCAAATAAGGAGTTGACAGCCTAGGGTGTAGTGTGCAAGTTTGGGGAACTCTGCATGAATCCAGACTCCCCCCAATCGTCCCTTCCCACCACTGTCTTGTTCCTCCTTTTTCTGTTGTGTTGTTAGTATGGGACTTGAACTCGCCCAGGGCACTGTCCCTGAGCTTTTTTTGCTCCAGGCTAGCACTATACCACTTTGAGCCACAGCACTACTTCTGGTTTTCTGGTGGTTAATTAGAGATAAGAGTCTCCCAGACTTTCTTGCCTGGGCTGGCTTTGAACCGTGATCCTCAGATCTCCGCCTCCTGAGCAGCTAGGATTCCGGGTGTGAGCCACTCACTAGTACTTGTCTTTGCTTCTCCTCTAAAGAGGACAAACTCTTGTCCCAAGAGTTGAACCACAGGGGTTGGGCGATCTATTGGGCCCTCTGTACCTAGAGCAGTGCCAGGCATGTAGTGGGAAGAAGTAGCTGGTGGAACTTGGCAAAAATAGCTTGAGACCTCTACTTGAGGTCTCAAATCATTGAATTTTACAGCCACTGGAACTCTCCAGAGGCTTCTGGTTCCTGATACTGAAGTTCTGCCTCCCAGCCACCCCCTTCCTTTCCTTCAGACTTAATGAAGTGAAAGCTGATTGAAACTATTGAAGTCTGTCTTTCCTTGTCTCAAACTTAACTGTATATATTATTTCACTGTGTAGACCCCACTCCTGAAGAGTCTAGTTTAATTAGTCAGGGTTTACATCCTGGGCTCTGGAATTTTTAATGTCTCTTCTGGT